AGCTACTCCAGTAAAAAAATTAGAAATAAATGACCTGGATACATTTGGTTCACAAACGAAGCAAGCTGTCATGGGGCTTGATGTTGAACAATTGATTGAGAGAGCTTGAGAAAACCTGCTCAGAGAGGAAACAGGGAGGATGCTGACCCATTGCAGAGGTTGCAGCCAATGCCACAGAACGATTTGTCTATGGACTACTGTATGGAAAACGAATTTGCTATGTCAACTTTCACCTATAGAACAACCCAATGTTCAGGAAACGAGAACAGTCTGCTCGATCTCAGCACCTTTCAGGTGACACCACGTTCACGGACGTAGACCTGGAGAGGAGGGAACTTAGTGTGAGGCCTCAATGGGGTGTAGTGCACATTTTGATGTTCTCAATGTCGTGCTTACACTATTCGCAACTTTGAGGCTCACCTTGAAGACAAAGCACAAGGTTTAATTTTGACTAGAGAGCTGAACTATAGACACGGTTGACCTATTTGGGGCTTTGGTGTATTCTGCTTTGTTTTGCCCTACTTTTTCTCAGAAGTTTGTGGAAATCTCTTCTGTCCTGAATACCACAGATCCCTCCCGCGGGCCTTTCTATCTATGTTTGGATTTTGTCTTACTTTACTGAAGGGAGAGGAGAGGCAAAGGAATGTATATGTATTTCATTTTCAACTCAAGCTCTATTACTCTTTTTATATTAAAAAATGTACTTGGAAGGGAAGAGATTTTTATTTGAAAAGTCCTGCCTGTTTTCAAAATAGATAAATTGGCTACTTATGCGTGTTATATGCTTTATGTTGACTTTCAAAAAGGGCATTTGTTTTATTCAAGTTTCTCCAAGGCCATTAGCAAGCCTGTTTGAATGTACTATATATACTCAAGTATAAGCCAACCCAAATATCAGCCAAGGCACCTAATTTTGCCACAAAAATTGCCACAAAAATGTGCTGAAAAGCTCAGCATATACTCGAGTATATTTGGTGTCTTTGGTTTGGAATGATTTTCCTAATCTCTTCTTTTGTTTTGTAAAACAAATAAACACAAAACACTAATAAATAGGAATTTATCCTCATTTGCTTCCTTTTCCCACATTTTCTTTGTGAGAAACATTGAATTAGCAAGAATATATATATCCTTGTGTGTATACATATACATATTGTGTGTTTTAAAAGAGAGAAAAAGAAACCTACTGTCATAGAGTCTCAAACTCACAGTGACCTGCACAGGGTTTCTAAGAGTAAATCTTTACAGGAGCAGACAGTCTTTCTTCATAGAGTAACTGATGGATTTGAACCACCGACCTGGCAGTTTACAGCCCAATGCCTCACCCACACCTCCACCAGGCCTCTATAGCTTATGCTATTCTACTGGTTTAGACTTTCAAGGTCTCTCCTTGAATAATCTATGTTATTAGATTTATCTGCTCTTGAAGAGGGAAAACATAAGTTCCTGTTTCATTGATTTTTACCTACTTCATGTGTCTTTTCTATATTTTAGAACTGTATTTCGTAAAACGAAGAGGTTGATTAGTAATTTAGTGCAAGTTTTACTTAAAGAGTATTTTTCACTAGTCAGTGCTGTCTGTATTACTGCTAATCGGTATTGTGCCTACTGCCCTCTGGTGTTGGAACAGAGTGATTAATGGTGATGGAGAAGAACGGAAGGAGTGCATGGAGCTCGGTAATGTATCCAGCCCTGCGGAGGACTTTAAACCCCAAATAGCTTAATGATACTTAGCTTAGCCCCCAATAAAATGATTTTAAAAAACTCACAACTCTGAAAATGGTCGTGTTTAATGTCTCAGAGAGTATGAATATTATGGTGTAAGTGAAAAATACTATCACTCTCAGATACAAGGACATTTTAGCTTATAGTTTACCAGAACCTACTTTGTTACAAAATCTCTTTAATGTAAGTAGTGGTTTTATTTTATATTTCATTATTTCTGCTCTCATGTCATGTTTCCTCCAAAAATACATGCAACTAAAAACTGGAGTAAATCTAGATGTTCTCGGTTTGGGAACTAGTCAAATAAACAGGGCAACAGTCTTGTGTAATTGACACCAGTAGCAGAGATCTACATGTACTGAAAGGAACCCCAAGATGTGCTCATTGAAATGAGCAAGTTATAGAATCTGGAATGAATCTAATAGTCAAAGGTAACCTGTAGTTGTATACATACTTTTAGTATTTCTTTAAAATAAGGGAAATGTGAAAAAAAATAATAATAAAATAAAATAAAATAAGGGAAATGTGTTCATGTCTTTTATAATTAATAATTAAAACAAACTTTCAAATATACTTAAAAAAAGTAGTTAACTCTGACACTAGTTTTTGTGAACAATGGGCATTCAAAGAGAAAGTAACTGGCCTTCTCGGGAATTCTCTTAAGTAGAATTTGAGCTGGCCCTTGAAGGATAAGTCGGGCAGGAATAAATGCAGGATTTGGGGACAGAAGAGTCCCTGCGTGGTGCGAACTGTTAATGTTCTCCACAGCTAACTGAAATGTTGGAGATGGAAGAAAGAGCTGATGGTCAACTTTTGGTCAATCTTCAAAATTCGGCCTTTGAAAAGTCTGTAGGACACAGTTCTACTGTAAACACCCACCGCTCACTGTGAGAGAGAATGGACTTGGCAGTGGGTTTTCAGGGCAGAAAATTTAAAGTGGAGGAAACAATAATAAAATGGAAAGTGAAACTGAATAGAACAATGAAGGGATGTTTAACTCAAAAGATAGCATGTGTGTTGGATTACTGTGAGACGGAAGGATGGAAGAAGGAAAATGAGTGGGTTTTGAGGGCTAACAAGCCAGAGACAGTGCTAGATGCTTTTTGTCACGTTGTCCTCCCCCGGGCTTGAGGTCGCTATGCTCATGTGTTAACCGATGCGCTAACGCGCTCACAGACTTCAGAAGACTTGGAATCCCAAAAGATTCTGGACTCCTTTGGTCTTTGGATCTAATCTCGTCCCTCCTGACCTTTATGTTAGGTATAGCTAGAAATGGCTTCCATCACTGGTTCTCGTTGTAATGTGTATTTGGGATGAGATGACTGGAATTGTGGAGGATAGCTGGAGACTTACAGTCGTAAAGATGCCAAAGGCTCACATTAGGATGCTTCTAGAATTCCTTTTAAGAAAATTAAGAAACAATTAGCCTTTTAACAGATTGGTTTTTCTTCTCTATTTAAGAAGATAATGACAAACAGCTCTAGTTGTGTTACACCATAACATTGTTAATTTGGAATCAAATAATCTTTTAAAAGACATAAACTAATTATATAGCCTTAATTTCCAATGTCTACTTCCCTGGTCCCACTCTCCTCCCTTCATTCTTTCTCCAAAGTAAACAAGTTATCTAAGGAATTCTAGGGCTTTGTTTGAATTTCCTGTTTGGTTAAAAATAGTTCTGTTTTCCACTTGATCAAATAAACAACACTGGATCTGAAACACCTCTTTGTTAAAAACAAAAAATTAGAACTATTTCAATGTCTGAAAACCTGTGAACAAATAAAAACCCAAGTATGACATCTCTGTACATAGTTAACATAGAACTTTAGAAAAGGTGTGTGCTCCTGATTCATCCCTAAGTAATACACGATGTGATTTTTAAGAAGCTATAGTTAGCAAAATGCAGGTCAACAGGAAAATGTCAAATACACTTTTCAATGAGAGTAAGTGGTTTTGTAAAATAGATGCATGCTTATATAACATAAATGGGCTAACCCCCTCTCTGCCAAATATTATAAAACTTTACCATACCGTAATTATAAGGACAAAGTTAATAGCAAGAGAGTTGATGTGACACCCTTACTCATTGACACCGAGTTGGTTCCAACTCCTAGTGCCGCCATAGGATACGAGAAGTTCTCCAGAGGTAGAGTTTCCAAGGCGGTCTTTACGAAGCAAACTCCCACATGCTTCTCCTGCAGAGGGGCTGGTGGGTTAGAACTGCAGACCTTTGGGTTAGCAGCCAAGTGTTTAACGACTGTGCCACCAGGCCTCCTTTTTTTGGCTGGAGTTAAGTTGTTATTGGAAGCATATTCACCCAACACAATTATTTTGATTGTTTGTGATAACGAGGTAATAGGTTTTAGAACCAGACTAACTAGGGTTCATATCCTGTCTAGACCGCCAGGACTAGCTCAGTGTTGTTGAATTTCCTCTTTAAGCCTTAATTTCTTCATATATAAAATGGAGATAAGAATACTAGTGATACAGAAAAGAACATTCTTACATGACTGAGTCTCCTCATTGATGTGAAAATTTTGTTGTCAGCAGGGAAATCTGTGGGTCAATCGGCATGAGCACTTACACATCGCCCAGGTACTGCCAAATTACTTGAAAAGACGGTTCTAACTTACAGTCTCACCAACAGTATATGGCAGGGCCATGCACCTTCTATAGTACTGAAGATTTACATTTTTGCCAGTCTTGTACCTATCTTCTAGTATTAAATCTCTCTCTCTGACCTCATTATCAAATCTGGTAGCATCTTAGACATTGGAATAATACTACAGTTTAAGCAAAATAACCTTACCGTTTAAATAATTTTCTTAATCTATTAACATTGAGTGGATTCCAAGTCCCGGTGACCCTCTGGGTCAGAGTAGAACTGTCTCACTGGGTTTCCGAGGCTGTAAATCTTTATAGGAGCACACTTGCATCTTGTTTTGAGCTGCTGGTAGATTTGAACCACCAACCTTTGGGGTAGTAGCCAAGTGCTTAACCAATGCAGGCTACTTGTCAGTGTATGGCTTTTATAAAAATATGACAACTAGAGACAGATAAATCACCTATAAATACATTTGGCCTTCTTTGGGGGCTCAGTAAATGGCAGATCTTATTTTAATTATGCATATGAATAGTAACAAATAGCACTGTAGCATTTATAGTGAATGTAGAACCTTGTGATGTATGCATGATGCATACTGGCCCGACAGAAAGACTTAATACAAGGACTCTGCTTATGATCCCGATTAAGTTTTCATTTTTTTTTCTATTTCCAGAATCCCAAAACAAAAGAGCAGATTGAGAATCTGTTACGGGATGGGAGGAACAAGGAGCTTCGCGATCGTCTGTGTTGTCGAATGGCCTTTGGGACTGCAGGGCTTCGTGCAGCCATGGGAGCAGGGTTTTGCTATATTAATGACCTTACAGTGATACAGTCGACACAGGTATTGCTATAGAGTGTTTGTTGTGCAATTGTTCTCATTCTCCAGTTGTCGTCATTTCTTTATAAATTAGATAGTACCTTTCTTTAAAAGGTAGCTTTATTCCAGGAGGACACCCAGATGAAGTATAGAATGTACTATTGGTCTTCCCTGAGGCATATTTATAGAAATCATCTGTGCGTCTTCAAGGTCACAGACCAACTTTCTGATTCCATGTTGTTTGGGTAGTTTTTGTGACAGTGCTACATTGCATTTAAAACCAGGAAATGATAGGGACATATCAAAGTAGCACAAAGAAACAAGAGGAAATACCCCGTGTGGCTGTTGATAAAAGTCAACCAAAGTTCTTGGAAAATTTAGTTACAAATATGCCCCTTTAATATGACTTTGTGTGTCCAATTTGAGAGTTCTTTAAGAAAGTGCGTGGTATGATAGTTTCATTCTTCCACATTTTTATTCAATTCATTCTTGAAATAAATTACTTCTCCCCACTACTTGAAGGTACTACAGTTTTGAAACCAGGAATGCACTTAGCACACATATATGGTCATGTGTTGATTACCATCCACATCCATGAAATAGGATGTCACATGATTTGAATATTATGCAAGCATCTTTATTATATATAGGCAGTCCATGTGTAACAACAGCAAGTCAAATGTTTTTCTTGGTATATATTGTACCATTCTCTGCATACTAGCATTAAAGAAGCACTTGCATATACACTAAAATATCTTAAGCATAATAATACAGTAACAATAATAATTTAATAGTCTTTTGATACATGCCACATGCTAGCATCCGTTGCTATTAATATTCATTGTGTACCTCAAATTTTAATACAATAGGCTTTGTGGTCAAACATTGCCCAAACAGGCAGTATGCAGCCTATGGCTGTGCTAGAAGTGGTCCTGGACTAGACTCAAAATTCTGTCAACTAGTAAATTAGCTTTAGCCTTGTTCTGAGGGAGTTCTATAATAAAGCTAAGAGCTAATGCTGCTTTATTTCTCTTCTCCATTTTATTCCTCCACTAGAGATGTTCACATATTTTTCTCATATGCAGGTAGTCCCTACCTTACATGTCAGGGCTCCATTCCAATGACTCTGTTGTAGGTTAGTTCTGATTTTAAGTTGAATACTTTCCGCCCCCCCCCCCTCCCTTATTACTTTCTATTATCAGAATTTTTATAAATGTGATCTCTTACTTGTCTTTGGGGCTTGGAAACATTATAAATAGTAACTAAGAGTGAACATCTGAGAATGAGAACATCAGCAGATTACATGCTACAACATTGTATGCAATAAGAAAACAGTTCATTGTACCTCAAATATGTCGTAAATCAGGGCTACTTGTATTGGGTTTTCTCATAAATTTTCATCTGACATGATGATTAAATGGAGGAGGTGATTGGAAATTCATTTATATAACGGTGTAACATTTGATATGAATTTGGATCCCATGGTGTGACTTGGAAAAGCCAGATTAAATGATTCTTAAGCCCCATCCTTCAGACTCTACCTCTAAGGAGATAAGATGGGTTAAAAGAAAACAAAATGTCTCGTACCAGAGAGAAATACAGAGTTTTTCTCTCGGAGGCCTTAGGATGGTGTCATAATTAGAAATGGATCAATTAGTGAAAGTGGATAGTTTGGTCATGTTAACCCCTCCCTCTCACACACACAGGGAATAAGTTGGAAAGGAAGCTCATTTGATTATAGTTGAAAGACCATCCGTGGGTCAGAAGTCACTAGAGCCACCACACACACATGTAGCGTCTGCCACATGCATGCGGGTCTTACATACGATAATCAGTATAGCTCATTTTTTGTTGACTGTAGAGCCTCAGGCAAGTCAGTAAGTGAAGCTTTAGTCTCAACTGACTCTTCTTTTTCAAAGAAACGATGACAGGTAGAAGGAATATGAATGATGTATTTTCTACTTCTCAGGGTTATTGTAGGGTTTAACGATGACAACATATCTAAAAATAATTTTTAAAAGATTGTAAAATATGAAGTGTTATTTTAGGTAAAAATGTTCCTTAAAGTTAGCCATTCATCTGTAGGTAATTAAATAGTTGTCTATATTTTTTTAATTTCCAATGTTAAATGCTTCATTCTATTTTTTGTTACCCTTTATTGCAAACTTCCCTAGTTCGTGAAGTGACCACCCCCCTCTGGAATTTTTAAAACCAAAGAATTACAAATGGGTTAAGAAATATTCTGACATAGAAATATATGTGGTTTGATATTTAAATGTTTACATCACAAATAGGTTAAATCTTTTGGCTAGCTTCCACCTCATGATTTAGCAATAGGCTAAAATGGTCAAATTCTTTGCTCTGGAGTCTAGAGCAGCGGTTCTCAACCTGTGGGTCGCGACCCCTTTGGGGGTCGAACAACCCTTTCAAAGAGGTTTCCTGATTCATAACAGTTATGAAGTAGCAACGAAAATAATTTAATGGTTGGAGGTCACCACAACATGGGGAACTGTATTAAAGGGCCACAGCATTAGAAAGGTTGAGAACCACTGGTCTAGAGCTTTGAAGGAAAGAAATAATTTTTTTCTGACATTTTCAGTAGTCTTTAGGGAGTCCTGGTATTTGGTTTGGTGCCATCGTGGGTTATGCACTGGACTGCACCAAAAGGGCAGCAGTTCTAATCCACCAGCTGCTCTGAGGAATAAATATGAGGCTTACTTGCTCCCATAAAGATTTGCAGCCCTAGGAAGCGGTCCTACTCTGTCCCATAGGGCCACTGTGAGTCAGTCGGATTGACTCCATAGCCGTGGGTTTGGTCACTAACAGTCTTTTTAGCACAGTGGGCTCTCACACCCCATCTTCATGTGATGTTTTAGATACTAGATTAGATGGTTGTTTATGGGAGCTTTCTGTGATACTAAATGTGCCTGAAATGCCAGGAAGGAAACAAGTTTGCCATGAAGCACTTGTCCATTGAACGCTGTTGTTCCCGCATTAATAAACATGAGCCCAGAAGCAGAAATCCCTTCCCTAAGAGTCAAGCTACACACCAGACCAGAAAATAAGAGATGTTAAGTCTTCTCAAGTGCAAGCATTAGACCGGACTAATGTCTTTATCTATCTGCTTCAGGGGATGTACAGATACCTTGAGCGATGTTTCTCAGACTTCAAGCAGAGAGGCTTTGTCGTTGGGTTTGACACTCGGGGGCAAGTAACTAGCAGTTGCAGCAGCCAGAGGTATAGTGTTAATTATTTCAAAGATTAAGTTGGGTTGGAATAACACATTATTTTTTATTATTATTACTTTGCCCGGAAACAAGATTTCTGAAACAGGAAACTGTCAAATTGAAATGTGTGTGTTTTAGGGCCGAAATGGACAAATGGCAGCATTTTTCAGATAAGATTCTGTAGAATGAATTATATTTTAAATATTTAAAAAGTTTGTATTTAAAGGCAAACTGTACTGGGCATGAGTGATTTTGTAGTGTGTACTCTCTCTTTATCATCCTATTTAATTAGTTCTAGGGTGTGTTCGTACACACATAGTCATGACATAGCCTGTTTTCAGGGTCCTATCTTCAGAAGATGGAGCCCCTAGGTGGTACCACTGGTTAGCATGCATACGGGAAACTGAAAGGTTAGTTTTGAGTCCACCCAGAGGCACCTTGGAAGAAAGGCCTGGTGATCTACTTCTAAGAAATCAGCCCTTGAAAACCCTGTGGAGCCCAGTTCCACTCTTGACACGCGGGGTTGCTATGAGTCAGAACTGACTTGACAGGTAACTTGGTGTGTGTGTGTGTGTGTGTGTGTGTGTGTGTGTATGTCCCCACCCCTGGAGGCATTATGCATGTTGAGTATTTATTGTGGTTTTATTTCATTCCTGTGGAATTTATTTTTTAGTAGAAGAGCCATCAAGAGTGAAAGAAGGAAAAGAAATTGAAAGAAGGGAAAAGAGTTAGGCTATAAAGTTGTTCTTTGTTAACCTGTGTTTTTTTTTTATTTAAATTTTCTATTTATTCATACTTACTATCTTTAAGCAGGAAGCTTAAATAACCAGTATTATAAGACTTGATGGTATCAGGCTATTATATATTCAGAATAATTGTAAGGTGAGGCATTTATTTTGTGGTGGAAGGTTGTGTTTTTAAAAACTTAATGAATTCTCTCTCTTTTTAAGGCTTGCCAAACTCACTGCTGCAGTCTTACTGGCTAAAGATGTTCCAGTTTACCTTTTCTCAAGATATGTTCCTACACCGTTTGTAGTAAGTATTGTTGTGTCAAAGGCTCCCCGGTGGCTCAGTGGTTAAGTGCTTGACTGCTGAACAAAAGGTCTGAGGTTCGAAGCGGTCTGTTTCTTTAGAGATGTACAGCCCCTATAGGGCAGTTCTACTATATCCCATAGCAGTTTGTTTTTCCCCCAAATATGCAATACTGACTCCAGGGAGGCTGCAAAGGCAAATACCTCTACTTTCTCCTGGATTATGGTCTACAATACAAAAGTTTTTCACCACCAGGGGGTCCCTGAGTAACTTCTTTTCTGAAAGGGGGCAGTAGGCCACCTAAGTTTGGGAAACGGTGTCCTATAGAGTAGCTATGAGTCAGCACTGATCTCACAGCAATGAGTTTAGTTTTGGCTTATGTTGTGCTACTGGTTATACAGTTTTCTGCTCTCGAAAAGTTTCCTTAAATCAATCAGAACTCTTTTCTCAGTTGTCCTTATAGTATCATATTCGTGAATATGAAGGACCAAAGGAAGGAAGACAGGATTTCTCTTTATTCGTTAAGCATTTGTTGACTCTCCTAAGAGCTTGAGCTAAATAAGTTGACGTGTCCACAGTCATGGTTAAATATTTTCGTACTTTTCCTTCAGAAACGGAATTATCAGATAACAACAGTGAGTTAGAGAAGAGTTGAGCACCCTATTAATAGGCTTGGTCTGTTGTGCATGTGGGTGTATGTAAAATCCAGTGATCACAGAATTCAAGATCTCATCAAGCAGATCACAGAGGAATTCTCAGGACCAGAGAACTGCTTATTAAGGCCATGCCTTCAGACACTAGTGCAATTAATTAGAAATAAGTACGTCCACGGAGACCTGTGTCTGGAATTTAAACACATTATTAATAAGTAATGAATTAAGACACAACCTGATGAAGAATGGAAGCAACAGCCAGTTCTCACCTAGTCCGATCGTGCAGGATTGAAAAATGACGTGCAGGCTAGAACATGCCAAGCGATAGTAGCAGGAAACACGACAGATTCTTGTGATAACCTTTAAAGAATTTTGTCAGAATAGTAAAGGCATCCTTTTGTTCACTATCCATGTATATAGTCAATGGGGAGGAAATTAATATTTACTCTATTGTAATTTACAACATTGAAATTAAATATTCATGAACACTATTTTCTTTTAAAAA